ACCACTAAACCTTAACTGTCCCTAACAACTATTCACGTGATTTAAACTGTCCCTAAGAACTGTCCGTAGCTTGTCCGGAGACTTTCCCTTTCCGAAATTTTCCAAAGTTATCATGTGATCGGGAAATCGATCCTAAGCCCTGTCAATTTCGTTATTACGACCTACGTAGTTATAACATTTTCGACATGACGACACGTCAATTGGACGTCTTCAAAATATCTGCATCTATAGTTTAGGCAACCTATCGCTATAGTTGTCGTCCAAATAGTTATTACTATTGGTGAGTTGTATTTGAAAGTTTGTCCCAAATCCCAATTCGTAAATTTGAGTCCATATGGTTAATCCCACCCTAGAAAGTCCCAAACTAGTTTAGGTTTGAATGGTAACTACAAGCAACCCAAAGCAGGTCTAGAGGGCAGCTCGGAGTAGAATTTGATGCAAATTTTAATTTAATGAAGATTGGATCAACCCATACTTATTCACCATAATATGTATTCCACGTTAACCTTATAAATTTAAAAATTGCGGTTTTTTATAAATACGTATAAATTTTAAAAATAAAATATATACTTAGTTTGATAGACCTTATCGAAAGCCATATGTAAATAATGCATTTTAAAATACAATGCAGTTTTTATTGATATGCGTTATCGTTAAACTGCGCGTACCATATTTAATGTACAAATAAATTCAATTTTATTCAAAAATTTTATAATTAAAAAAGTTGATGGCTTTCCGTGAAGCTCATTGCGTAAAAAGTCGCATTATACCAGATACTTTGGTCAGTGCACTACAGGTAAAGAGAAAGAAATGATTCGCTGTAATTAAAAATTTTAATTACCCGGACAAATTGATTCAAATCAACCAATCAAGTGAAAGTTCCTTTACTAAATTCGCTATCTAATGCTTTAAACTCAACTTACAAATGAAATCAGTAAAAACGCAAGTTAAACCTGGACAGAAGGAAACTTTATCTTGCTAAAACGTGGTTTTGAATTTCTCAGTGTGTAAAAACATTATTGATAATAAATATCTAAATATAGGTGGAAGAAATATCCAAAGAATGGAAACTAGAGCCTGAACATGAATTTCGTTTTGAGGTGGATTTTGGCACGACAGTAAAATTAAAGGTATGTATTACTTCAACTGTAAAAGACAGAAAAGCAGTATTTATTGGTATTAAGAGCATGTAAAAAAAGAATATAAAATGTATTTTTTTTTTTTTCTTTAATAAAATAAAAACTTTATTTGTTTCGACGTAGAATGACATGTAAGAATGTATACTAATTAAATGATTCGAAATCATGACTTTTAAATTATTTACTATTATATAGCTGATTTCTGGTACGGCAGAGATATATGGCACAGAAATCGGGATAGGACCAGAATATGGATTTTCAGGTCGCAAAATTGCAATATTTACGTGGCATGGTTGCAAGATAGAGATATCCTAAATAAATGAAATTATAATAGAAATCATAAAATTATAATAATTGAACATATCCTTAGCAAAATTATGCAACACATCAAAGGGACTTGTAGTGTAGAATATGTCGCTAATGAAACACCAATGATCAGTTATCTCAATATGCATCTGGCACTAGAACAACGCAGAGAAGCAGCCAAAGCCAAAGGTGAACAGGGACCAAGGGTAGCAATTCTTAATATCTCGTTTGAACATATACATTTCATATGACTGATTATTATAAATATTTTCTAAGGTAATAATAGTTGGACCTGAGGATGTAGGCAAAACTTCCTTGAGCAAGATATTACTTGCTTATGCACTGCGCCAAAGCAGACAACCCATATTTGTTGACCTTGATGTAAACGAGGCAAGTTAGTTAAGTAATGTGATGACTTAAGTTATCGATGTTTTTTTTTTTAATATATTCAAAAATTACATAATTACATAATTACATAGGGTTCTATTACAATGCCTGGTACTTTGACTGCGACCCCGATTAATCAAATAATAGACGTTGAAGAGGGATTTGGTTCTTCGGCAACAACTTCACCATCGTTGGGATCTTCATTGCTCCCAATAGTTTATTATTATGGGTATTCTGATCCGGGAGAGAATATCAAGCTTTATAAAGTACTAACAACAAAATTGGCTCAGTCTGTCAAACGCCGTATAGCTGAAGATGAGGATGGTGCGAGGGCTTTTCATTTTTCCTTTTATACATCATAATGTATAACAATTGTTTATAACTCTATTCAAATATCTTTGCAGCTAGGATTTCGGGTATGGTGATAGACACTAGTGGTCTTATAGACAATACAGGCTACGAGATTATTCAACATTGCGTAGATATATTTGATGGCAAGTTAACTTGAATTTATCTTCATTGTAGTTGTATGACATGAAATTTCGATTAAAGTTTTTGATTCTATCTCTCTAGTGAACATTATTATTGTACTTGGTCACGAGAGATTGTATAGCGATATGGCAAGACTATATAAGGATCGTTCTAACATCGACATCTTGAAACTAGCTAAATCTGGCGGGGCAAGTCTTTTTATTATTATTGTTGTTGTTTTGAAACTTTTTAAATTAAAGAAATATTGAAGTTTAATTATACGCAGGTAGTTGATAGAGGAAAAGTTTTCCGCCGCCAGGTTCAAATGCGCAAAATTCGAGAATATTTTTATGGTCTGCCCAAATTTGAGTTATCACCCTGTTCAACATTGATCAATTTAAACGATATAACAATATATCGAGTAGGAGTTGGTTGGTATTAACATTAGAATTATTAGTGTAACATCTTTGAGTTTTTGTAACAAATCGACATTTTGCACACCACGTGGCATTAGGATCATTGGCACCTTCGTCTGCTTTGCCAATCGGGATCGACAGGAAAGTCAGTGAGACTCAATTAGTAAAGGTGGAGCCTGATGATACTATACGTCATTCCATTTTAGCACTTACTGCTGCTAATAGTCCGGATGAACAAACATTACTAGAATCTAATATTATTGGCTTTATATACGTGTATATATACACATTTCGTTTACTTTATATTTTGAATTTCGTAAGACAACATTCTAACTCCATCTATGATTATCATCAATATTGCAGTTCAGAAGTTGATACGGTCAAACAAAAGATGACTATTCTAACACCGTGTCCCGGTCGTCTACCTAAGCAATACCTGATAATGGGTTCATATAAATGGATGGAAAGTTGATTATAATACATTGAATTATTTAAAAATGTCAAATGTTAATCATTTGTTCATGAGAGAAATTTAAACATAATGACTAAAATTATATGTTTGATTTTGGACTTGGTTTTGTTTATATATTTGAATGAAATTTTCTTTTTTTATTCGACTTTCCAAGCACAGTAATTGTCATTGCTATTGCCATTATTGTTATTGCTTATTATTATTGATCCAAACTAACACTGTGCAACCTTTATTCTCCGATTAAAATGACATTTTATCGTAACACAAACTCGAGAGTCTAACGCACACACCTAGTGAAGTAGTAATATTTTTAAATTTTTTTATATGACGCAATCAAGTAATCTAACAATTAAACTGCGGTAGCGTAGTACGGATGTATAAAAGAAATGAGAGATTCAAAAAGTCTTATGATATAATTGGATTCACCGGAGTTTACGGATTTTCAACCGTCCTCCTAAGGTCAACCACACGGCCGTTGAACCCCGTACAAGAGCTCTCCGTATATCTGTGCTATTTGGTTAGGACTTAAAGTTGCTCTCTTTCAACTAGCATTTCCCATTGACTCTACTGTTCGCATCCGTAACTTTGATATACGTGGCATTTGTTAAAAAGGTATTACTTTTTCCGGTGGCATTATTAATGGGAATTTAATGGCGAATGCGATTGAACGCGAGAATGCTACAGAATTATAAAATAACTTTTGAATTTGTAAATTACATTACCTCATTATAGACAAGACACGTCCAATCTATTGCATCAATTTTAGATCGTCGTTTACAAACGATCCTGAATATATATATTTTTATTATACTGTTTGACTTCTTCCACATTGATCTAAAAGTTCTGAAGTTTGTATATTGAAGACCTTGAAGAATGGGTCGCAAAGAATTCATTCAGGATGTCAAGACGCTTAAAGAACACTTTCGTGGCTTAAGTTCTAAAAGTGCCGCTTTGGTAAAAGGTATTGATCAACAACTAGTCACCTTTGACTACTGTCTTTTTCAATTGGCACTTAATCTTTTCGCGTATTAAGACTACTGACATTATTGATTATATTTCTTTATTAGACTTTGATTTTTCGGATCCGGAATTAAGTTTCAAGTTTACATACAAGACTGGAAAATCGTTTACTGTGCAGATCTTTGTCAATGGTAGGGTCTCTAATTATTAAAATTAGCTTCCCAATTCTTGCCTTTTTATTTTATTTTATTTTAAATCCGATAATTTGAGTGCGAAGCTTCTTTTTTATTTGTTGACTTTCCAAGATTCATCTTTACAGTCTTATCCATCTTCGTTCAGTGCATTTATATGTGTGGACAATGCAAATGATGATGAATCTAATACTGGTATGTGTCTTTTATAATCTTTTAATTTTATTCCTATAAACCATTTATATTTATCTTCTGATTTAATTTATTTGAATAGCTGCAAAGTGCTTATCTAACGTCTGCATCGATAAAAAATCGGTGAGCGAAGTTGTGGCAACTATCGTATCTAAACTATGCGAACATTTCAAGATTTCCCTTCCAAAAGAACTCTCTATGAACTCTTTAATTAAATTTGCTCGTTCTGCTGGAGGTTCTTCAGCTGCAAAGCCTACACCATCGACAGTTCAGACTCCAATTATGATGCTAAATCGAGATTTGGCTGAGGTGAAACATTTTAAGTATGTTCAACCATTTAAATAATGTCATATTTTTTTTATATTAAATTATTAATTAATTTAAGGTTGAATTATTTTATGACTTAGATATAATGCTGAACTGCTTTGTGCGGATCAAATTGGCTTCAAAGTGGCCGTTTCTACGCCGGTAACTCGACTTGGGCTGAGTTCAGAAGCTTGTGATGCGTGGAATTTAGATCCTGAACGGTAGTTTTATAATTTTACTTGATAATTATGAACTGTCTAGTTAATTAATTAATTAACATATATTTATCTATTTATAATAATTTCACGTGGTTCAGGTATTTGGTGTGCATTATGCAATTCTCTCCAAACTATATAGACTTACAAGGCGCGATAGCTGATGCTTTCCAAACAAAATCATACCTTATTAAAGAAGGTGGTTATCAAGCTATAAAAGAATCGTTGAAAAAACAATTTCCTATTCAATTCACCGTATTGACATCGTCATTGCCAAGAGGAGTGCCAAGTCAATCA